ACCAATTGGGAGGTTTTTTGGCCCCATTTGTAATCTTGGGCTCATTTCTACTATTGGGCGGTGTTTTCACATTCATATTAATGCCACGAACTGTGGAGCCATCCGTTCAAAAGTCGGGAAACTTCTTTAGTTTCATAGCAGACGCCGGCGTACTATTGGACGCCTTAGCGATCGCCACATCTCTCAACTTCATTGGCTTCAATGCGGCCACTCTTGAGCCACACCTCCGAAGATTCGAGTAATTAATGATTCATTCAATTTATATCTTGATTTTAATTAACATTTTCATTCAATTCTATACTTAAGTATATCGCCAGTTATAATGGGCTGTATTTTTATGATTTCTGGTGTCACTCATGCAATAACTACTCCTATTTGGGGAAAACTTTGCGATAAAGGGGTTTGAAATACATAACAATTCTTAAAAATATAACTTTAATTACTTATCAAAAGGCTTTTTTTATTCACTAATAGCTTGACCCTAAGAAGTTGTCTTTATTTGGTTCAATACTGTGTATAACAGGCTTCACATTTATAGGACCTCTCGATTTAATACCATTTCAACCGTAAGTTTACTGAACACTTCAAACAAAATATTCTTAACTATTACTAAAACATGCATTTATTAAACAGTGAGTTGTGGTTAACTATCCTCTCATTGGTATTCATTGGTTTGGGAATCGCAGCAAAACTGGTCACCGCTTTCATCAGTGCTTTACAGGACTCCATCCATAGGCGAGGCTTTCCCAGTGATATCTCAACTTATGGTTTAGTGTCAGCCATGTATTTCTCAGCCAATTCTATAGGGTATATACTTGTTTGAATTATCAAAAATGAACTATTAATATATAACTTATTAATTAAACTGGTAATTGTAAACTTGTAGGGCATTTATAGGACCCACTTTGGGAGGAGTCCTCTTAGATAGTGTTGGCTACAGAAGTGGCACTTTTGTTATACTCTTTATCGACGCTATTTTGGTACTTATAATAATTCTGTCATTACTTTTGTTAGCAATTAATTTAATATATTCAATATAATGATTGTCTACAGGTTTTACTTCTTTCTATATATTTAATGGCAAGAAATACAAAAAACTATACAACAGATGAAAAGCGGCCACTTTTGGGCCCTAATATTCAGCCGTAAATAAGATTTTATTTATATATTTAAGTTAATGTTCAATGATTTGTAGATTATTTTAATAATTTGTTTTTATATTAAATAACATTATTGTGTTGTTTTATATTTATCGATACATGTTATCAAATATGCATTTTATTGATATTGCCATTAGATTTGTAATAAATACTTAATTTTAATTAATAAACAACTTTTATATTGAAATGTTTTCTCTATTTGATAAATAAAAGCAATAAATAAATGATAAATATTGTACAATGTTATAGTGCAATGATTTGCTAAACAAACAAGTATTGAATCAATTTTAAACTCAAATCTAATCGTTATTGAAATGTTTTCTCTATTTGATAAATAAAAGCAATAAATAAATGATAAATATTGTACAATGTTATAGTGCAATGATTTGCTAAACAAACAAGTATTGAATCAATTTTAAACTCAAATCTAATCGCAATCAATGTTTACAAATAAATTTTTTGAAAATTGAGTATCAATTTTGTTTTTCTGTATAAAAACGCGGAAAATAAACACTGATTGCAATTACACTTAAAAACAAGTGTTTATTTAACCATATGATTGAAACGGATGGCTTGTATTCAAATTTTTTAAACATTACTTTTTAAGTGATTAGCAGTAATAATAATAATTAGTTGTTTTGAGTTATAATTATGATAATTAAATAGCAGAAGAATTATGGTATAAATTTTAATAGAATATTAAACAGGGATAATCTAATAAAATAGTTAATGCCTTGATCGCATTTTAACTTTTATACCCTCATTAAACATTATCTCGTGGATGTGTGAAAAGTTTAATCAATTATTTATCTCATGTATTCTTATATTTCTTGTAATTTGTTGCTTTAATTTTAAAGTAAAAGATGCAAAGTTGGTTTTTAATACGGTAACATATTTGTTTGTTTTTTACAATAAGATTAACAAATGCAATATATACAAATGAGTTTTAACTTAACAATAAAAAATAAAACAAATTTCATCAAATAATTGAGTTTCAATTTTGAATTTAATTGCATTTTCAGAGCGTATCCTCTTTTAGAGGTGTTATAAAAGCGATTATAATTCAAATAAAAGTATTTATAAGTGATAAGTAAGGCATCAGCTTTATTTTGAGTTTCAAACAATTAAATGTTTTTATATGAAAACGAAAGTTTTGAAAAGGGTTTAATGGATTAAAAACTTATATAAAAAACTATGAAGATTTATAAAGCTTACAAAAGATTTGTTTTTTATGAATACAATTACAGTATTATTTTCATAAAAGATTTGTAATATAAATTATATGATAAGTTCTTAAAATAAGTTCAATAAATTGCATAAATATCTTTAAGATTTAGTTATATTCTTATTTATGAGACAAAAATTAACGACAATTTTAATCTTAATATATGACACAATTATTAAACAAATAATATCGATTGATATGTGACTGGAATAGTGGTAAATACCTGTGAATACAGTACAATAGGCTATTGTCAATAGCATTGAATGGAAACACACTTTGCACTACTCGTGTGGTATGGTTTGGACGGCAATACAGTAGTCGCAGAATATTCCTAAATGTGAGACACGAGTCCACTGACTGAGGCGTTGATAAGAAATGTATACACTTTGGAGTCAACGAAAATTTTGGTGATAAGACCCGACAAGAGTCAACATTTGGTGTAATTTCATATAAAGTTCACTAAATATTAAATACATTTATTCACTGTTAGATTCTTGATGACACCCAAACACTGCACTCATTGATATTGTATACAAGTTTTTACATTAATTTTATTGAACTCTTTTTTAAGCAAAAACTTAAACTTAAATTCATTTTATTTTCTCCTAAACTTAAAAGGATTTATGTCCAAATCTAATACAACTTATTTGTCACATGAGATTTATTAATAATAAATAGTTTCAAGTGAATATGAAACTTATTTTTCAATAATTAAATTGTTTGTTAATATTATTTGAATCGAAATATTTGCGTCAAAGTTTGCAATTTTCTAAGAAATATACATTTTATCTAATATTTATCTGGAAGCACTCGATTATCATAAGGTATATAAATGTTTATAAATATTTGTTTGTCTCATAAACTAATTTATTTTTCACCCAAAACTTTCTCTCATCTTATAAAGTATTACAAGAATTCTCAGCAGTAATGGAGTCTAAAATACATTCCTTCAGCTGTTCCACAGAAGTCAACAAAATATTGTCTCAAAAGTGCGAATCATTGCCTGCCTATGAAAATGAGAAAAAAGTTTTTCATAAAGACTTTTACGGTTATTCACTGCCTATTGAAAGCCATGGGTTCTCACAAAGTGTGCAAACGATTCAAGAGTCCGATTCAAGTGATGATAAAAGTGTATCAAAAATACCGTTCCGTAGGAAACAGTTGTTTATACTAATACTGTTAGCTTACGGCAACTTTTGGGTGGCCGCTTTTTATAAAATTATAATCTATATTATTATTATACACAGTAATACAGTCTCCAAATGAATGTAATGTTCAATTGATTTGATGATTAATGACAACGTTTTTATGAATTCATTTTGTTTTGTAATCCATAAACTAAATTGTAGTTTAATTTTGTTTTTGTTTAAAAATCTTTAGTTTGCTTAAAATAGAAGTTTTTATTACCGAATGATTAATCTTTACGTGTGAATCAATTGGAGAGTAATTGTATAGAAATGAAACATTGATTTAAAACCAAACAATAAGTTATTATATTTAATAATTATAAGTATTTTTGTCATTAATAATTCAATTAGTAGTCAATAATAACTTAATTTTAGGAAAAAACAAAATCTTTAAATCAAATTCGCTGATCGATTGATCCATTTATTAATAAAATAAATAATTTTTTGTTGATTTAATGTGAACTAAAAATATATGTGAGAAAATGTCATCAAATTTAAGGGCAATATTTGTTTCACACTTTGTTGTAAATTCACTAAAATCTAAAAAATAATATTTTTATAATAAAAATTTGAAAACATTTGTTAAATAAAATGATAAGTTTATTGTATAATTCATACGAAAATATCACAAAAACTATTAAATACACATAAAAGTCATAAAATATGTATTAAAAGCTTAAGAGTTTTGTGTTAAAAGTGGTCGCAATTCATCACTTCTGGAGCTCTGAACTCTTCGTACGATTAGATGAAACGAATGAAGGAATACCTGAATATAAGACACTTTATTATAACAAACATACAATTGATATGTCATTTCATTAGAATATGAAATACCATAAGAATATCGACGATAAGAATGACAAGAATTGCTTTTCTGTAACCAATTCTATCCAAAAGAAATCCACCCAAAGAGGGACCGATGAACGCACTGAATGTATGTCAATATGTGAAGACATGTCCATTACATTGAATATAATATTGAATTGAATGGTAATTACCCGACACTACAGGCGCAGAAGAACATCGCGGACACCAAACCATAGGTCGATATATCGTCGGCAAAGCCTCGCCTATGGATGGAGTCGTGTAAAGCGCTGATGAAAGCGGTGACCAGTTTTGAGGCGATTCCCAAACCAATGAATACCAATGAGACGATTATTATCCACAACTCACTGTTCAATGAATGTATTATATATTAAAATCAAGAATATTCTGTTTGCAATGTTTAGTACACTTACGGTTCTATTGGTATGAAATCGAGAGGTCCTATGAATGTGAAGCCTATTAAACACAGTATTGAACCAAATAATGATAACTTCTTGGGATCAAACTATAAGTGAATATAAAATAAATGATAAGCATTTGAAAATATTTCAAATAACAAGCATTTCTAACCCCTTTATCACAAAGTTTTCCCCAAATAGGAGTAGTTATTGCATATATTCCACCAGAAATGACAAAAATACAGCCCATTATGATAGGCGATAGACTTTAAAATAAAAGTGAAAATAAAAATTAATTGTCATTTGATTATTAAATGAATGAATCATTAATTACTCGAATCTTCGGAGGTGTGGCTCAAGAGTGGCCGCATTGAAGCCAATGAAGTTGAGAGATGTGGCGATCGCTAAGGCGTCCAATAGTACGCTCGGGTCTGCAATGAATTTCCATAGATTTCCGGACTTTTGTTCCGACGGTTCGACAGATTTTGGGAATAATATGAATGTGAAAACGCCTCCCAATAGTAGAAACGAACCCAATATAACAAAAGGCATCAAAAAGCCTCCCAATTGATAGAAAGCGCCGCCGAGTGTCGGCCCTAATATGAGACCCAAACCGAAACAGGTCTCCAACAGTGAGAAAGTGGTGGCAATTCTATCGGAGAACTCTTTAGCCATTATTACATACGA